TTTTTTTTTTTTTTTTTTTATCATTTCATCAATTGGGCTCTCAACATTTCATGTTAAATGTTTAATTTTACAATTTTCTGAATTTTTTGTGTATTTTTTCCCCCCTTTTCAGCAGGTTTTTGCTCAAAGTTTGAAACTTGAAGGCTCCCTTTTAATATAGAAAGGGGAAAAAAAAACAAGGACAAAAAAAGTTTGAATCTTGAGGACTCCCTTTCCAAATAGAGAGGAAATATCAAATAACTAGGACAGTAGGAGGAAGAAAATGAAGTGTTTTTCTTATTTCAAGGAGAAAAACAGAAGTAGAGCTAAAAAATCAGCTCCATTTATAAACCCCCAGAGCCAATCTGATATGTCAGAAGCTGAAAGGGTCCCTAAATCATCTTGTTCCGACATTTCGCCTCGCGGCATACCCGAACTGTACGAGGAAAAAGCTCGGAATTTGAGAGTGTTCACGTTTTCCGAGCTTAAACGGGGGACTAATAATTTTAGCAGGTTGCTTAAGATTGGTGAGGGTGGTTTTGGGTGTGTTTACAAGGGGATTGTTAAGCCTGTTGATGATGAAAAAGGTGATCCTTTTGTTGTTGCAGTCAAGAAATTGAATAGAGATGGTTATCAGGTTTGGTTCATGTTTGCGATTTTTCATATATTTTGTTCTGGTTATTTTCTTGGTGTTGATTGTTCTGAGAATATATTTTCATGTTAATACGATACCGAGTCTAAATTTAACAAAGTATCATGTCATTTCTGTGTTAGGGGAACAGAACACAGTAATTGTTCTTCTAATATCTGTTATTGACAATGCTTAGAGCCTAACTTTGAATTCTCTAGCAAACAATTTGGACAATTTTGTGTAGTTTTCTTTTGTAATGTCTACTAAGAGGTCCAAATTAAGTCAGTCATTGTAGATTTTTCTAAGTGATTGGGTTTCTGGTAAAAGGGACTATCTATCTATCACAACATGTTGGTAAACATATACACTCTTCAAGTTTACTAAAATGTGTTCTCCATTTTGATGAATTTCAGGGTCATAAACAGTGGGTAGCTGAAGTTCAGTTTCTAGGCATAGTCGAGCACCCGAATCTTGTCAAGCTAATCGGGTATTGTGCTGTGGATGCCGAAAGGGGTATACAGAGGCTGCTTGTGTACGAGTATATGCCGAACAAAAGCTTGGAGGATCATCTTTTTAACAGGGAATATCCAGTTTTATCGTGGGATTGTCGATTGCAGATAGCGCTCGGGGCAGCTCGGGGCCTAGCTTATCTCCATGAAGAATTACAAGTCCAGGTCTTTTTGAGTTATGACATTCATATAGTACAAATAATAATAATAATAATAATAAATAATCTGCCATGTGACAGTCTTGAAGGGAGCTATGGATAATATGATTTGCTGCAAACATTTGAACTTTTTCAAAACTTTGATAAGTGAACTTTTTGATTAGGTCATATACCGGGATTTCAAGTCGTCCAATGTGTTGTTGGACGACGATTACAAGCCGAAGCTCTCAGACTTTGGGCTCGCTCGTGAGGGCCCCACGGCCGGCCGCACCCACGTCTCGACCGCGGTACGCTCCTTTCCGTAGCGAAAACACAAAACACCTATCTCAAAACTTCACGAGGGTGTGTATTCGTTTGGGATTTCGAGTAACATAGTGAGGCTTTTTAAAATTTTCAGATTTAGAAAGAATTCAGTCGAATCATAAGTCTGTAAATGGGATTTCATATATGTTTTTTCCTTAGAAATCCCAGCCAACCTGAAAAATTTTTAACAATCATAACGGGGTGTATTCATTTGGGATTTTGAGTGATATTTTAAGACTTTTTGAGATTTTGAGACTTTTTAAGATTTCGGAAGAATTCTGTGAAATTTCAAGCTAGAGGTGGGATTTTGTTTGAGATTTCGTGTAAGGTTGTTTTTTTAGAAATTCGAGATCTTAAAAGTCTTAACAAATTATAGTCTTAAATAAGTTAGATATTTTATTATTCTGAAAGACTTTTTTAAACCCTAAATAAATACCCCAAGACATTTAAAAGTCTTTTAAAATTTTTAGAAACTCAAATGAATATACCCACCATAATTTCAAATAAATTAAAAATACCTCAGAAAATTTTGTAAAGACTTTATAAATATCCCAAATGAATTATTCTAGACTTTTAAAAGTCTTAAAAAGTTTAAATTAAATACACTAAGATTTTTGAAGTCTTAAAAAATGCAAGTCAACGGCAAAACGGTAACTTTTCAAATCGATCTCTCGTCATTTTAGGTGGTCGGGACGTACGGCTACGCAGCCCCCGACTACATAGAAACGGGACACCTCACAACCAAAAGCGATGTGTGGAGCTTTGGTGTGTTCCTTTACGAGATCCTGACTGGGAGGCGCTCGCTCGAGCGGGCCCGACCGAGGCCCGAGCAAAAGCTACTCGATTGGGTAAGGAACTACCCGGCCGACAGCCGGAGGTTCATGTCTATCATGGACCCGCGGCTCGAGGGCCGGTACTCGTCGAGCGGAGCCCGCGTGGTAGCCAGGCTAGCCGACAGCTGTCTGGCGAGGAGGTCCCGAGACCGGCCCAAGATGAGCCAGGTGGTTGAGATACTCAAGGACATAGTCCTCTCGCCGGGGGTCGAGAGCCCGACGAGTGAGTACACGGACAACGAACATGAAAAGAGGGATGATATGCCCCCGGAGACCGTGGGGCCCATCGAGTCGGCCAGGAGGCGGATGGCCCACCTTGCCGAGATAACCGAGCACGCGGGCCTGGTCGGGCGGAAGAGGTTTGTTGTGATGCAGCAGGGCCAAAGGTGACATGGCCTTTGAAGAACAAGTTATATATGATCAATGTAATTTCAGTGGTTTGTTGTGTTTGTTTTTAAATTTTGGTTTATAGGGAGTAAAGGAAGTTAATTTTTGCTCTTGTTTGTTCATGTATAGTTTCTTGGAACTAATTACATGATGATCCTTAAATTTTGCATAATTTAATTGCAAATGTGCCCATCATATTAGCATCAGTTATGCATAGGTCCCTGTCACTGTCACAGGGGCCAAAGAGTCCCCCACACATTCTGCTGTTACGCGATGCCTCGAGAAAATTATATTCCCACATCTATTTGGTAGTATTATTTATTAACATTGT